ACACACACACACACACACACACACACACACACACACACACACACACACCACAAAGATAGCATTATAATCTATTAGAGCAATTACTAAGGTAAAGGTTAATAGCAATTTTAATTTTTGTCTTCAAAAAATATTTTGTATCTTCTAACATGAAGTCTTGGCCATTCCTTTAATTTTATTGAGATATATACAATTTTTATCAGAGCAATTTACATTAATTAATAATTTTCCCAGTAACTTAGTTCATGAAAGCTCTGCGATGATTCTCCCACTTTGAATCTTGGCAGCGGAACTACAGAAAAGTCAACTACAGACCCTCTGCAAATTTTCTCACTTGGTAGCTATGGGAAGACAGCACACCACAATACAGTTCATGGCATCAATCTTTCATATCGCCTCAAAAGATCATGATTCCCCATTTTCACTTATGACTTGAGACAAATTTTGTATTTTGTTTCCAACAATATAATTAGAAAAGTGTTTTTCTGGCAGGGTGCCAGTGGCTCACGCCTGAAATCCTAGCTACTCAGGAAGCTGAGATCTGAGAATCACAGTTCAAAGCCAGCCCAGGCAGGAAAAGCTGTGAAATTCTCCAATAAACCACCAGAAAACCGGAAGTGGCCCTGTGGCTCAAGTGGTAGAGCACTCTCCTTTAGCTGAAGAGCTGAGGGACAGCACTCAGGCTCCGAGTCCAAGCCCCATGACCGACCAAAAAAAAAGTTTTTCTGGAGAGATGTAGTGTTAATTAGGAGAAATGGTTTTTATTTTACACGTTTGTCAACTCCAGATCCATCTCTATGGAAGAAATATAGTTAGGATATTCCAAAGTAACAAAAGCCTCCAACTACATCACAATTGGCTTCTTGACAGTTTACACACTGAAGCATCATAACATTTGAAGTGTCCTACTAGGACAATAAGCACACTAAATGACCCCTCAATTCTTTATTCTTTAGGAAGACTGTATCCACTTTAATCAATCGAGAAATTACTAAGAAATCCAAGAGGTGATTGTTTTTTGCCATTTGAAGAACATAAAAATCCCAGAGAGTCTATTTCCCTCTAATTTTTTAATAGCTGGAAGCCTACCATACTTAATAAGCAGAAGCAATCTGAACTCATTTAGATTTGTCAACTACACCACAGGAAAGAATGTTCTCAACATCATACTCTCCTTCTGAAGAGGTTGTGTCAGAAGTCTGGTAAAGAGAAATTCAAAAGCAGGAAGAATGTGGGAGGGCAGTGGGGGAGGACTTTTTTTTTTTTTTGAGAAACAACTGCTTTATTTCTTCCACTGGGCAGCAACTTGTGCTAATGAAACTCAGGTGGACAAGAGACAGCAAGCCCCAGGGCACCCCTGGTAATGCTACCCTCTGGGATGACAATGGAGGCTCCTATAGGCCTCACAGAGGTGCTACTTTAAAGAGAAACTGGAAGAAGGGAGGGGGGGGGAGTAAATAGGATCCTATTTCAGTGGAGCAGCTGAAACCCATAGCTCTAGGGCACAAAATAAAGTTATTTTGCTTTAACTACCTTTGACGAGCACAGACATACCCTTCTGCATGTGTTTCTACTGAATGAGACCTGGACCTAACTATTTACACCCATCTGTGAATCTAAGTAACCCATGACCTGGTGCAGAAGACGAGTAGATTCCTTTGGAAATGAATGGCTTCTCTCTTCATGCCAGCAGTGACTACTTACAGGTTCTCTTGTGGATCACACCAGTTTTTCCCTCCTTACGTGCTGGCTAGCCTTGGCGTTCTTTGAACCTGAATGTCAGCTCTTCACATCAAGTCGGTATTACTACTGAACATCGTGTCCAAGTTACCTTTCCCAGCCACACATTTTTTAACTGTAAACACAAGTCAATTAACTCCGAGTTGCTGCTGTGATGAAGTCTCTGGCTTCTGCTTTTCACCAGGCCCATACCTTCAGGTTTGGGGCACAGGGCTGTTAAGTTGCCTAAACAAGCCCTCTACGCTGTGGCTGCAAGAGGTATCTGAGAGCAAGCCCAGATGCCAGCCAGCCATTCTTTGTTACAACTGTACTCTCGGCAGCACATTTTTTTAATGCTTTGGAAACTCTCAATTCCAGAGCATAACAAGCACATAACCGCCAGACACAGCAAATGCTGAGTGAGCCGCATTTCTCTTACCTGGATCGTGGAAAGGCACCAATGCGAAGTTGAAGAGAGGTCTCTTGGGTCTTTTCAAAGACGTCTCCAGAATTTTGGAAGCCCCTTCAATCACCTGAACTAAGTCATCGTACATGGAGCCCGTGACATCAAACACAAAAGCCAAGGTGGAAGCCCCCTCGGGGATCCCCTCCGCCCCGCTCTCCCACGGCGGGCTGGCGTCCTGAGCCCGGGAAGAGGAGAGCAGAACCCACAGGAACACTTGGAGGACCATTTCCCAGGAAATCATCTTCTTTTCCTTTTCTTTGCCCCCCCCCTCACCTCCCCCTGGACGGTACTTAGTCCTCCTCTACAAAGAGACAGCGGGTTTCTTCTCAGTCACTACTCATGGGGCGCGTGAACTCCCCAAAGTTTGGATCTGGGAAGCGGCTGGGCTGGGCGGTGTGGGGCAGCGCAGCTTTTGTCTGCACGCAGCTTCCTCCCTCCCCCAGCTCCTATCTGCCCGCCGGCCAGGCGCTGCGTGCAGCGGCAGGATGCGGGCAGCGTGCGGGGTCCATGCATGCCCCGGGGGTCCGCGCAAAGAGCCTGCAGCGCGCGGCCGGGTCCCGCCGTGCACCCTCCCGCCACCGCGCCGCGCCGCGATCCGCCTCCCTCCCCGCTCTGCACTGCGCGCAGCTCCCCGGCCCGGCGCGGCGAGGGAAGCCTGGCTCGGCCCCCCCCCACCCCGCTCCTCCTGACCTGGACCCCCACACACACACTCCCCGCCTTGGAGGGGTGACTTCCCCTTCCACTGATTCTGGGGTCAGTTCAGTACCAGGCAAGAGCTTACACCCTCACTCTACTCAACCTCCAAAACCCCAGGATAAACAATGGCTTGCAGGAATGTGTGGCAAAGACCCTAAGGAAGGGACACTGCATTGAGGAGCACAAAGGGACTCTCTCTCTCTCTCCCCCCCCCCTTACATGTGCCACAGCGGCTTCTGATTCTTCTTGTATCATAACTCGACCCCCACCCAGAAGCCAAGATGTCCTAGCCCAGTCTCCTGTCCCTCAGCACCCCCACCCCCCTCAGCCCAGCCACGAGAGGGAGCTAGAAAATTCACTCCACTGGGCTACTTACACACTTAGCACACTTTGAACTCTTGGGGGGAGGAACCTCAGTGAAGGGAAAGGAGGAAGGGGTGGGAGGGGGCAAGAACGGGGGGGGGGCGTGGGAGACAGACAAGCAAGTCCCTGACTACTTGGGGTTGCTAGAGGAGCAAGTTGGGTGAAAATGAATGATGGAGGTCCAGCAGAAAGGATTAAGGGGGTGAGGGGATGAAAAGGAATGAGGCATATTGAATTCGGGTGAAGGAGAAACCTGATTTGTTACATTTCATGATCAAAAGTCACATTTGCTGAGCAATTTGAACCCTCTGCAAAGCAGCAAAGCCAAGTGAAGCAGAGTAATACAGCTATACAACCATGACTTGTCAGGGATCAGCCAAAGATCCATTCAAAAGGTGTTCCCCTTGCTGGCTGGCTGTGTTGCAATTCTGACAGACGGTGGTGTGCAGGTTGGAGGGGGTAAGCAAAGTCAGAAGAGAGTCTTTGCTTCCTTCTCATGGAAGTTTGTGCCTTCCCTGGAAAAGGCATTGTCTGGATGCTGGCATTGAAAGAAGGGGGGAAGGGACATCTTGATCAGTGTTTGAATATGCATTAGACCACCCATCCAACATTAGGGCAGCCTCAGGAAGATGCAGCCCAGGACCCTTTTACGCTCTGCGACTGCGCTTTCAGTCCCAGCGGCCCATGAGACCTGAGTTTATGATACCTGTAAGTCATGTGGCTTGAAGAAAGCAGACTGGCCATTTGGGTTGAGTAGGAATATGAAAGGAGAAAGGGGAACACACTTCCTTTCCAAGTAGTATTTAGAGAATGTTGAATGCTATGTGAGTAGTCCCTTCCTTTGTTTATTTAAGCAGGATTGCATTCTAAGTCCTAGAGTCCAGAGTGATTCCAGGTGCTCAGGAGAGGTCATAGAGCCAAGTGATTAAGAGCCCTGGATCAGATAGACTGGGTTCAAAGCCCAGCTAGGACACAATCACTATAACTTTCACCAAGTTTTGCCTACTTACTTCATGCCAGTTTGCTTGTTATGAAAATAATGATGCAAGAGTGAAGTGATCCATACATGTGAAGCGGAATGTTCAATAAATGTCAATTAGATTGCCTGTTTAACAGTGATATTCCAATCTTCTACATCCTTCAGTGGTTTCTGCCCTTTTGTGATCAGTTATTGGGAGTAGCATAGACTGACTATAACTGTGAGTTTGTCAGAACTTCATGCAGTTCAATAAGTTTTCATTTATGTGTTTTGAAGATCTGTAATTGGATGTTGTTGGGTGTTACATCCTCTTGATTTAATGACACTTTTATAATTAGGAAGTGACTCTCACAGAACTGGTGGTATTCTTTGTTCTAACATATAATTTGTCTGATATTAATAGAGTTAATGTTATAAGACAATATAGCTATATACTTGTTATATATTGTTATAAGCCAATGTAATTATATGTTAATATAGTTAATATATGAGACATTATAGTTTCCCTCCTTAAAAGTTTAAGTCAGATCCTTTGTATCTCTCCAATGCTTCATTGGATGTATAGGGATATATTCTAACAGAGTTAGAATATTTTTTAATATTCCTGTTTGACAGTTCCAGCACCTGTGTTAGTTCCATGTTAGTTTCAATTTTTTTCCTCCAATATATATATATATATATATATATATATATATATATATATCGGTTCTGTTTTTCTTTTCTTTCTCCACAGGGCTCATAACTTGGGATAACAGACATTGTGGTTTTACCTCAACAGGTATTAGGTATTTTTATATCTCTAAAAATATTCCTGAAACTTGTTTTGGGAAAAACTTAGGATCTTTGAAATAATTTAATCCTTTTAAGACTTTTAATTTCTTAGTTTTTTAATTTTATTTATTTATTTTATTTTATACATTTTTATTGTAAAAATACTGTACAGAGGGGTTACAGTTACATGAGCAAGGTAATGAGTCCATTTCCTATCAAGCATTGTTACAGCCTCTTTTGTTTTTCCTCTACCATCCCTTCCCTCCCACCTCCACAACTACACTCCCCCCCCCACTAGCCTAAATTGTTCATTTTTCAACATAGTGTCTTGTATTTCTCATTGTTACAATGGGCCGACCTGTATCCCTATTTAAGCATTTTGTTATTTCCCTTCCCCTCCCCAAATTAGAGAAGTGTATATACACACAAGATGCAGAGCACTGATATCAAATACAGTGAAAACAGGGGTTACACTGTGGGGAAGAACATACAAAGAAACAAAAAAAAATCACATGGTACATTATAAATACGTTAGAAACAATATCAAGAAAGAAAAAAACCCACTTTTGTCCCTATCTTGGGGTTCATTTTGCTTAACATCATCTTATTTGATCATATATACATAGCTTTTGAAAACCTTTTCTGCTTGTCCCAGACATATACTAGTTATTGCAAATAAGGGAAACCATGGGACCTATGTTTCTTTGGGCCTGGCTTACTTCACTTAATATAATTTTTTCCAAGTCTTTCTATTTCCTAACAAATGGGACGATATCATTCTTTCTGATGGAGGCATAGAATTCCAGTGTGTGTGTGTGTGTGTGTGTGTGTGTGTGTGTGTGTGTGTATCACATCTTCTTGATCCATTCATCTACTGAGGGGCCTCTGGGTTGGTTCCATATCTTAGCTATGGTATTTTTATTTATTTTGTGCTGGTCCTGCAACTTGACCTCTGGGCCTGGGTACTGTCCCTGAGCTTCTTTCAATCAAAGATAGCCCTCTACTACTTGAGCCAAGGCAATCAGTTTCGGCTTTTTCTGAGTAGATAAAAGTCTCACAGACTTCTTGCCCAGACTGGCTTCAAATGGTGATCCTCAGATCTTAGCTTCCTGAGTATCTAGGATTATAGGTGTGAGCCACCGGTACCCAGCTTTAAATAGATAGATAGATAGATAGATAGATAGATAGATAGATAGATAGATAGATAGATAGATAGATAGATAGATAGATAGATAGATAGATAGATAGATAGCATCCAATGTCCAGTTTAAGGCTAATTGTTCCCATTACTGGAAAAAAAAAGACACATCTGTGTGTTCTACAGAGTACTCTGGGAATCCTGAATTTTCCAGTCTGTCTGGTGGCCTAGAGAGCTAATCCCTTTCCTGAGTATTGTCTTCTTTAAACCCTTCCTATGCTTTTTCCATGGCCTTGAGTATTTTCTTAATATGCCTGTGCTGATCACTAATCAGTTCTCTAAATCAATGGGGCCCTCTTCAGATCTCTGAAATTCTCTATCTGCATAGCTCTTTCTGGTGCTCTCTCCTGCAAATGATAGCATACATCATCTATTTACATTTCAGCTCTGTCCCTCAATTCAGGCAAGCTGCACGTTACTTCACCATGAGGGACCAAGAAACTCTCCAGAGGGTGAAAACATAAAAAACTCTAGGTCTCTCATTTGCTACCCACCTCCCTGGGTTCATTTTCCTCTTCTTCCTAAAAAATGAAATGAAATAGTGAAAAAAATGAAGTGAAATCACATATGAAATGAAATGCTTACAATGCATTAGGTACAGTGCCTAGGAATACATTCAACACTTAAAAAAAAAGTCTTATTCCCATTATGTTTTGTTTTGTTTTGTTTTTTCTGGATATAGTTTGAAAGTCTGGACCTACCTAGATGTATCAGGGACACAATGCATTGAGTGACAGATAGCCAGAGAATCTGTTGTTTGTTTATATTTGTTGTTCTTTACATTGAAATAGCATCCAAAAGCCAAGTGTTGGAGGTTTGGTGCCCAGCCTAAGGTGCCTATAGGGAGGGAAGACCTAGTGGAAGAAAGTTAAGTCGCTGGAGGCATGCCCTTGTAGGGGATTTGGGGACATGGACCCCTTCCTGTTTCTCTCTCTCAACTTCCTGGATGCTGTGACAGGACCAGCTTCCTCTGCCCTGGACTCCCTGCTGTGATGGATCTCTGACCACAGGCCTGACAGCAAGAATCTGAATGCAGACTGGAACCTCCCAATGAGCCAAAGTCACCCTTTCCTTCTTGCAAGTCAATTATCTCTGACAATCTCAAAGTTCTCCAGAGAGCAAAAACAAGCAGGATAAAGAAAAGTCAGTCTAAGGGTGTTTTACGAAACTGATCATTGCTAACATCCACTGGTAACTTAGCCCCACAAAAGTGTCTGAACACCCCAAGTCATGT